TGACCTTCGCCATGGCGCCGAAGGCGGTGGCTGCCGGAGCACACGCGACCGGAACTCGAGCAGGTTCGACATGCACAGGACACGGACGAGTTCTTGCAGTAAGTTGTGCATAACAACAGCTCACACCAAGGACTGCGGAAGGGTCAAGCTAGAGAGCTCCGTTTGCTTCCGAGATGCCTTGACGGCAGCCTTAAGTCCGCCAGGTACCGCCTCCAGCATGTCCAAGTTGTTTCTCGTATCCACCTAGGCCGTGCTGAGGCGAAGCAGCAATCTGGCATGGAATTCCATTTTGTAGCAAAGCACTCCGAGGTTCGGATAACCGGCCCACAGCAAAACTTGGTCAACACCTCCAAATCGCTGGGTGAGGTCATCCAGGTATCTGGCCTTGGAAGATTCGGAGACATGCCCACGTCTAAGTCTACGCTCCAAAAAGAGCCGCGCAAACAGAAGCGCAGACACCACGTCGAGGCCCGTTCCAGGCCAAGGTTCTGCTGTCCAAGTGTGCTTTATTGGATTGTACAGACGTCGGTCATGAACCATTGTCTGAACCTTGCCAGGATCCACACGTGCAGCGGCAAACGACCGTGCAGTGCAGCTGATGTCATGAACCTTTGCTGCTGCCCAAGCTGCAGTGACATAGGCCGCACTGCTGCGGTGGAACTCTGCTGACGCATACTCGCCTGTCGTGCCAACGGCTTGCACAAACAACTGCTGCTAGCCCTTGCGGTTGGCAAATGAACCAATAGAATTATCAGCATTCATCAACCTGAAAGGCCTGCTATCTGCACGACGACACGCTAGAAAAGACTTGCCGCTTGGATACAAAACTGTTGTATAAAGGGCTGCGCGCTGTTCTGTTCACGGTCGACGAACTGCTTGAATGCACGGGTTCAGCCTGCTCCACTGACGAAGTCGATGTTTGCCAGCTCCTCCAAATAAAGAGACTCAAGTGGAGTGCAAGCTGGTCCGTGCCCATGATTCTCTTATCCTGCTCCCTGATGTTATAGAAGCCCAGTCTACATAGCCAAGACGGAAAACTCAAGCCCCTGGCCCTAAGCCTCAAACTTTGAGGATTCGTGAAACCCCGTCCCTGGTGAGCAGAGTCTTTTGCCTCGTCCCCCAGCCACTTCCCTCTGCAGTCTAGCTCTACTCTGAACGGATCCTCGGGTCTTCACGATTTGGGGTTTAGTGTTCGGATTCTCATTGAGGGGAGGTTTGCCACTGGCAGCGCGGCAGCAGCAGGCAAACACTTCAAGTGAACAGAAACAAAAAATGCACAGTTCTGGTCAACTAGCCAAGGGCCCATCAATAGCACAACACCTGTTTCAGGCTTGTCAGGCGTGCCCCTTTCAGCCCATTAAACTCTTTTCAGCATGGGCTTGGATTGAATCCCATTAAACTCTGAACTCTAAACGTTCAGTTGCTATACTGAGCAGGAAACGCTGTGAGTAAACTACAGACTACATTCCACAAGCCTCAATAGTTAGCACCGATATCGTCGGTGCTTAGATTTCAGAAGCGAAATCGGGGTATTCGTATTACCTGCCCGCTTGCGATACCATGAGCTCGTCGGTTTAGAACACCGGTCGGGCTGGCAAATAAGCAAGTGGCCCAACGCGCCACTTGATCCACTGTGGGAGACATATGCCGATCGCGTTCCGAAAATGGATCGGGCAACCCATTGATCTGGCGTCGCGGATATCCAATCAAACTTCCCGAAGATGACCCGACAGCCGTTCATGCCACAGGAGGGATTGTCGACAATAACGTGGGCAGACACAAGGCTCTTGAACATCCTGTAACCACAGACCATGCACAAAAAGAGGCTGCAAAACAATGTTACAAAGCGAACCCGAAAACCCAACCAAAGAAAGTCATGGAAGAATGGCAATCTGCGCGACGTTGTTTTGTCGCGTCTGGCAATCTTCCAGTTGTGGGCAAGACACATCTCTCAACACTCACTAGATACAGCCGACAAAAGACAGGCATGAAACATGGCGAGGGGCCGACATGAAGGATGACAGTGCGGGACAAGGGGAGACAAGTCGCCAAAACCCCAACAGACCCAACCAACACAAGAACATGGATGCTGCAGCCTTACGGACCGTGTCAGCAGTGTTCTCTCCTTCTTGAGTTGGTGCAGGCTCAGCATCCACGCGCCCCAGGTTTCGTTCTCTGGTCCACGGATTCCTCCAACACAACAGCCATGGCCTAGCTAACTATGAGTCTACGGGAGCTGCTTCTTGGCTCCTTCGCGCAACACGTCTGGAATCTCTGGAAGACTGGCTTCATTGCATCCAGCAGGACAGTGTCGGGTGCATTCCTCGTAGCCGGCCTGGTCAGCTGGAAGACTTCCCCACTACCAGTTCAGACAGTCAATCGGAAATGTGGAGCTTCTGTGGGCATCGCCTTGCCACGGAAGTGCGGGTCTTCATTTGGAAGGCAGCTCCGCAGGCAACGACCACAGGACTCATTGCCCCATTGCAGTCGGCGGCCACCACGATAGAGCGGGGACAGAGCCTGCACGGACAGCAGAACTGGCATTCAGCATTCCCTCTCCGGCCGCTGACAGTGCCTGGTCGACCGACGCCCGCAAGGAAACCGGAGAACGCAGGCGATGGCTCTCTCCGTCGCCTCAGGAACTGCTCCGGTCTGAACCTGCGAAGAGTTGGCGCCTCCAATTTCGCCACGTCTCTTGACACTGCGACCTGCAGAACATGAAGACCATCCGCGCATCTCCCGTGCACACCTCATCGTCGAAGGACACAAGGCCCACACCCGGGTCATGAACTGACTTACAGCAGATGAACCATCAGCTCACCGCTGTAGCTGAATGGACAGACATAGCTTTTCTGCACTAGGTCACAGCTCAGGGCCACCCAGAAAGCCAAGAGTCCACATGCGAGATCTTGCTGCAAGATGGTGCTCAGATCTTCTGGAGCTGCACGCAACACCAGCAGTTGGATTGCAAGAAGCCATGTTCTCACGCATTCCATGGGAGCAAAAGCAAAAGATCTGCAACAAAAATTGGCGGGTTAGTGCCTATTCAAGCCTACCTCCTATCCATGCTTGGCCTCTATGTCTATATATCTGTTTCATGACCGTCTCTCTGCTGCTCACACTTCACACTTGTCTACGAGAATATTGCTGAACCTCGACAATAATTTTGACAGCAAAAGAGCTACGACTACGAGCATCTGCAAGGAAGCAAAAGGGAAGCATGAAGGAAGCATTGAATTTCGCAGTTGCCCAGACTCGGCCTGCGTGGCAAGCTGTGCCAACGGTGGAGCCTGGACTGAGCAAGACGCTCGCTTTTCCTACACCACCTCTCCCTGAGTTTCCCCTTGGAGCCGACCAACCACATTGCAGCTGAGCTGCAGAAACCACGGTGCCGCTGCCGGGGTATAAAGCACTCTGAGAAGGTCTCTTGAGGGGGTCACCAGCTGGAGAATAGGACATCACTGATGACGACGAGGATGTGTTTTGTCGGGCCTTACTACGCTCAAGGAATGCAGTGCTCGCCACTGAGTACAAGCACAGAGCAGCAAATCAAGATCTCGGCCACGGCCATGTCCGATTTGATGTTGAAAGCAGCACGGACGATTGCCTACAAGACCGAGTCGGCTCCGGGTCCAAAAAGAGCTGCGATTGGCGCCTCGACCAAGCGGAGACTCTCAGACCTAGGAAGACACATCTGAGAGCATGAGCCATCAGCGCACAAGATGGTATATGTGCTAAAGACAGATCATCGCACGATCGCCGTTCACTTTGCTGCGGCCGATTGCTGGTGCCAAAATGCCGCTGACCCAGGTGGGCAGTACCTACCACCTTTTCGTCAACAATAATGCTGCATTTGGGCCATTCCGAATACGCGTTTTCAGCGATTTATCTGTCCTGGTTGCCCCCTCTGAGGCTTTCTAGCAGGAAGGTCGCAGACGTAGAAGCCGATGAACACAGCCCCACCATAGTGCTCACCATACTCTTGTGGTCCAACTTGCAAGCGACAATTTCTGAAGCCGTCCCTGCGCTACAACAGTGACATCTCGTCACGACAAGCAACCCGACTTGTTGCCGCAGCTGAGCCATTGACAGTGATAAGCTTCCATTTTTGTCCTGGTGACCAAGGAAAAGTCCGGCAAAACCTCTCTCTCGAAGGGATTGTCTGCGGGTCCCTGTCGAACGCAGTATAGAGCTGATACACCTCGGAAGACAAGCAAGTGCAGCGTAAGTCTTCTTGAACTTTCCACGTATGCCTGAGCCTTCTGCCTGCCCTTCAGGCGGTGGATGCAGACCGAAATTATCGAGGACCTGTCGGTTTTTGGGGCTGACCTTTTCCAAAGATCTTCGCACTTAGCCTGGGTGATGAATTGCGGGATGGCACCCGTGCTCCAATTCAACAGTCCTGCCGAACAAACTGGACCAAAAACATGTACTGGCTTCCTTTTGTCACGACTCCGGACCGGATGCAAAGAAAGTGCAACAGGCCTGTCCCTCCAGCCAAGTGCCTGCCATGTTTGTAAAAGAGCATTGGTCTTGAAATGGGTGCCCGACGAATGTCACGCTTCGAGTAACACTACATGAAGACAACGAACATCAACACCAACTCATGGCGATCTTTCCATCCCAGAAACGTGAGCAGGCATGTGTCAGCATTCTGTGGTTTGCATTTGTACCATACAAGACATCGGAGCACGTCGAATCCAGGAGGACTCAACAGCCGCACCCGAGAAAAAAAAGCTTCGACAAGCGAAGCTACGAGTAGTGAGGAACACGGTAACATGCACAGCTCGCCCGAAGGTAGCAGTCGCGACTCTGCTGAGGGAGCCGTCCTCTACACATTGAACCTGAGTCATAATCATAACTCTGAGACTTTCCATGTTGCTGACGTAGCCGTGATATGCCGTGATTTGATGGAATAGCCAGGCCTAGTGGGCTCGAGACCCAGACCATCTTTGGCCGATGCTCCACGATCTCTTTCATGCTCAACCATCGGGTCTGGACAGATCCGAAAGTGACACCAAGACTCAGCCAAGCGATACTTGTCCAACCAGGGCTTCCAGCCTCGCTTGCTCGCGGAGCACTACGAAGAGTCTGCGTTCCTGGCCGGAATGCCGAGAAAGGATGGGCAACTAAGTCTTGCCTGGACAAAACGCCAGTTTGCTCGGCACTTTTTACACACCTTTCAGTGAAGCAGTTGCAAAATCAACGCCGGCGTGAGTGTCCGTCCTCAGCAGCCAGAAGAAAGCATCCGTATGTGCACAGGCTTGTTCGACAGCTTGAGCCGTACAGGCCATACAAGCACTAGTTGCGACAAGTTGCCACTCACCCCTGTGCGTTCGACCCACTGCAGCTGCTGCACGACAGCCCGCAGGCGGCACAGCCGAAGGGCAGCCCAGTCCACCCTGTGTAACAACCGCCGATAATCTCCACAGGTCACGCAGAGTTGTTCGCAGGCGCACCTCAGCGAGCGCCGCGAGCGCTGTCAAATCCCCGGTGAGGCCAGCGATTGCCACAGCTGCCATTGCGGACTCAGGCAGCTGGGCAGCCCAAGCCTGCGAACAGATGGCGAACAGCCATGCGAACAGGTCACAGGCCAAGCCAGGGCCAAGCTGGAGCCTTTGCATCGCAACTCTGCATTGATGCATCCGAAGGGAAGCTTTTCACCTCTGCGCCACCTGAACCCGATCAGGACCACACTCTTCGTAAACTCTCAAATCGACTGGCTGCTAGCTGCTGATTCACTTCATTCCAAGGTGCCTGGCGTGATGACAGCAACATGGACCCCTTCGACGTCAGTCTTCAAGAGCACATCACTCCCACATGTCAACAAGACCTGCCGAGGGAAGGTTCCCGGTGAACTCCGACTTTAGCACATCGCTCCCGGGAAGATTGGCCTGTGGCCCGCTGGGATGCCTTGGGAGGCATCCATGAGAAATTCGCTTCAGCAATTGGGTTACTGCGACCATGCCTGCCATAGCCAAGCGGCCAACTGCAGGAAGACGTAAGCCGCCGCTCTGCAGGCCACTCTGCGGGTGCGACCCACCAACCATGACCTCGGCAAGCTGCTTCAAGAATTGACCCACGCTTCTGCAAGTGACGTCACAACGTCAAGACAAGGCTCTTCGCTTCCAGCTTGCCGTGTCCACTGCCGTGGCGTCCTGGCGACACCAGATCTCACGCATTCTACCAAATCTGCTCGGCTGGGCCAAGCCTTGCCCACCGACCTCATCACCGTCTCAGCAAGCTTCTGATCGGCGAGGCCGGCAGCCAGGTCTTGATAGACCTTTGACGTCACCCCTGCAGTATCCCAGTCGGTGTGACATCACATCGTCGCAGCATGCCTCCTCCCACATCTTGAGGGCAGTGCGTGTCACCTGAAGCCCCAAGAAGTGTACAGGATGTCGCTGGCATCCAAACATGCACATGAATGCCCATGCCCATGCCTTCGCTGCACCCTTGATTGCGCTTGCTGGCACGAAAATCTCTTCGCCCAGGACTCGCCGCCATTCTTCTTTCGGGCTTGAATCCTGGAAAAGAGACTCTATCTCTCATTCCCACCCTCCCTGCCTTCCTCTTCCCTCCCTGCCTCCCTTCCTCCCCTCCTCCCTCCCTTCCTCGCTTCCTCCCTTCCCTTCAACCCTTCCTCTCCCGACCTCTCCCTCTTGCCACTCCCTCCTGCCTCCCCCCCTCCCTTCCTCCCTTCCTTCCTTCCCTCCCCTCGCATATGGCATAAAAGTCACATCACATCCCTCGCACGCAGCGCAGGCGACGCCACAGCACTCGCGCTGAGCCGACACCCAGCTGTCTTGCTTTCGGCTCTTCGAAGGAAGCACCAAGAGAATCCCAACCTTGCCTGTGTTTATTGCCTCTATCGGTGTCATATGACCATACGACTATACATCACAGGGACTCAACACCAATGCGACCACTAGTCTCTCTCTGTTCGATGCCTCGCCCTCCTCCTGCTTGCCATTGGCTGAGCGAGAGCTCTCGGCATCCATGGGAACAAACTTTTCCCACCCAAGTGCTTTGTGGATCCTTCCGTCCGGGCCTGCAGGATGCAGGTCCTTCAAATTTGCTCCTTACCGGCCTGCCCAGAGAACCAAGGCTGCGACCGCATACAATGCCACAGCGGTCTGCCTCACGTTCGATGGCATCCGGGTCCTGCGGCAAAAACAAACATCGAGGTGAGGGACTTCCTTGCGCCGTAAAGCTCTCCTTGAGCACCCACGCTCGGTAGCCATTGAACTTCGTGAGCACTTCTTCCAACCACTCCTGGCCGCGCTCAAAACTCAGCAGACATGGGCAGGAGCTCGATTGGCAACGCCACAATCGTCCGTCCTCCTCGCTATACGCTGCATATGCGGGTTCCACAAGTCGAGCCCACGGCTTCGGATCGCTCGAGTAGTGGAAGATCTTGACCTTCTCGGGACCTGTAGCGGCTCTTCCAGTCGAAGCTGAGGTCGGAGCTGCTTGCAGCGAGTCACCAAATGTGAGAGGCAGGCAATGGGCAACGGGGCTTCTTCTCTCGGGAGAAGTTTATTTCACAGACCCGCCCGCGATTCAGAGGCAACAGATCCTGCATCTTAGCCAGCTTCATGTCACAGGCCACCCACATTTCGGAGGCAACAAGTCCTACAGAACCAAACATCAGCGAAGCCGCCCAGAATTTAGAGGCAAGATGCAAGGAGCACGTGATCACAGTAACTGTAGCCTGTCCGACTGCTCAACTGCCACTGATCATGTCAGGTCTCCATGACGCTCCCCTCCGTCAAGCTGCGCATGCAGACAACTGAAACATTGCGCACCTAGCTGTGGAAGACAGCCGTTGATGAGTTCGACAGCTACACAGTTTTTACAACAAAACTCAGCTTTTGGTGTATGAATCTTGACCCCCCGCCCCCCTCGTCCTCCCCCCCGCCACACCCGAAACCTTAAGAAACTGTCAATCTACCCCCCTGTCTAGGTGGGTGCGGGGAATAACGGGAACCGTACACTGTAACCGAAACCCGGGGCCGTGCGGGTGCCGGCGTAACGGGAACAGGACAGGCACGGGAACTGCCGGAAGTGCCAACGGGCAGGAGGCTTTTATGCTCACACAGCCGGCACAGCCGAGGACCGAAAACCGGTCCCGCACTGGCGGGCCTGAACTAGATAAGACACAAATGAAGATATCGATACATTGGGACGCACACCCACGCAGGCGTGTGCTGCTACATGGATACTGAGCGGGTCACACAACCAATCACATGCAGGCAGAAGCTGCCATGTGCATTTGCTGTAGTTCCACAGGTTCAATGTGATTGAACTCTTTGCAGATAGGAGCAGACACAACAGTCTCGATCTTCCTCACTCCCATTTCTCCCTCCCGAACCCTCCGGTACCTTTTCAATGTGTCCCCCCCCTGTCTCCCCCCTCTTCCTCGCCCCCTCCCTCCCTCCCTCCCTCCCTCCCTCCCTCCCTTCGTCTCTCCCTCCCTCCCTCCCTCCCTCCCTCCCCTGCCAAATCAATATTTCTGAATACGCTTTCTGGCCTTCGTTGGCCCCACTGGAGCCCCACGGCGCACGGTCCCGTGACAAGATGCCCGCTCCTGATGTTTCGCCACTCTACGCCAGGCCAAGCGGCATCCCAAGAAGCCAGCTCGATCAGCTGAGTCCACACACTCGGGATTCAAGGCCTGAGCGCTTGCGTTCATTACCAGCAGCAACGCTCAACTACAAAAGCACCATGACTTTGCAAGCAATTATGCGCAGACTGGCCACGTAGTACATCTGATGCAGCTGGAAGTTGTAGGCCACACTGATGTGGGTCCAGCTGCTGGCAAAATATCCTAGGCCACTGTACCTACGGCTTTCTGCAAACGATGACCGCGCCGCACAAGTCCAATCTTACAAGCTGTACCCTCACTCCAGTCCAGCTTCTGGACAGGTAGTCCTGTTCCGGCCCGTTTCCACGTATATGTTCCGGGTGCTTTTCATCGGCCACCTGCACATATTGATATTCGACTTCACTGAAACAAACTAAAACTGAGTGACCGCTTGTTCCAAATCAGTCCGGATTCTGCAATTTATGTGACAACATCAGGAGACCTCTGCCAAACAATGTGCCAATGTGTCCAAGCTGGGCTTCAGCAGCATGACTCCAGCATTGATGCCACCCCTTTGCTGTACGCACCGGCCCAAACGAAACAATCGCCCACGACTCGTGAGGCAGCGAAGCGTCTGTAAACCCCCGAGCCGACAGAAGCAAACAGCGGAATCTGCAGGCGAGGAGCGACTGGCCCCAACCCCAGGGGCCAGAACGGGCACCTCCGAAAAAGAAGCTGCCTCGTGCCGCCACAGAGCGCAGGAGCGTTATTAGTGAGAACGGTAAGACAGCGTGCGAAAGCAATATCAATTTGAAGAGTCTGTCATCCCAGATGCCATTGATCTGCTCACCGTGGGCATAGCCACTCCACGGCCCACGACCCATCGCTGCAGGAGCTTCCAAGTCGAAGAGCTCGTCGGTGACGCCACAAACCTCGACCAAAATGCTAAGAGCGAAGTTTTGCAGGGTCTTCAATGACACGGCTTTGTCGACGAGGCTCCAAGAGATCCGCGTCCATCAACAAGATCTTGTCGTACTCCACCAAGCTGAACACCCTGACCCCAAGACAGGTTGTTTTCTGCAAAGAGACATCAGTCAAGGCAGGGCCACTGCTCGCCTGAGCTTGGTGAACCTGGGCAAGCAGCAAGTGGAAATGAATGAAACATCGACAAACATCGATAGTGACAAATCGAGTTTAACCTTCCAACAATCCCCTTGCTTAACTCACGGGAAGAGCTGGCCAATCCAAGCCATCGATTTTTCCCAAACCTCCGTATGCAAGCAGATCTTTGTCGAGACCACACTACTGTACGAACATGCCACAGTCGGCGGGGGCTCAGTTGAGCAGGATGCCATCATACTTGGTTTGAAACCACTTCATGCCATCTTCCTTTCTGAGTCTGTGTGACGAACCCACTCTGCCCCTTCGAAGCTTGCGATACTGGACTCGACCTCCAGGACGGGATAGGTGAACGTAGAAGTCCATTCCATAGATGCCTGTTCCGGGGTCGTACTTGATTCCAAGGTCGATGTGCTCGGTGATGCCGAAGCCAAAGCTGCCGTTTCTCGCAAAATTCTTCTTTCGAAGCTCGTATTCCTTGACCTTTAATCCCTTTTCAAGGATTTCTTCGGCCTTCTCGCCTCGAACAGTGACATGGCAAGCAATCTTCTCGTTGCGCCGGACACTCCACTGACGAATCGTCATACGTGCCTTCGAGAATACAGGCTGCTGCTCTGTTAGCTGCTCCAGCACTTTCGCAGCACGTGTCAGGCGATCGCCACTCTCACCGACGCTGATGTTCAACACGAGCTTCCCAACCCGAATCTGGCGCATCGGATTTTCAGATTTGTCCGCCATGCTGCTGGGTCTCGCTTGATTCGGAGGTTTGGGGTCGAGCACCCTGCCGAGCCGCTTGAGCCAGCAACCCGACGGATCGATCCTTGAGAAGCGCAAGACAAGAGCCTTTTGCCAACTCCTGGAATTGGGGACACCCTGTGACAGCAGCTCCCAGAGGCTTCACCTGGAAAACCGCTCTCATCCTGCATCGCGACCCGGGCTCGAATTTGGGAAGGAGGAACTCGAAGGTCTAGCAAAACTGCAACCGAGCAACACATCTGAAAAACGTCCAGTGATGCAATGCCGCTGGTAAAGCCTCGACACTGCTTCGACGTACTCTACCTCAGTTTTGAAGATTGATGCCACCGACTGTTGCCATCTCTCCCTCTGAACAAAGCTTGTCTCAAGCTGCTTGGCGTGGGCACCATCCTGCTTTCTGCAACAGCTCCACGGCCTGCCCAATGCCAAACTCAAAGTACCAACATGGAGCCGGCGAGCCGGGCCACCCCCCAAGGCCCCCCACATGCCCCCACCTCTTTCGGGACATCATTCGTGTGAAGGGCAACGAGATCATGACGAGTTCCGGACCTGTTTGGAATGCGACAGATGCGAAGGGCACGACAAGAGTTCGTCTCTCAAACGCTTTCATCCAAAACAACTTCAGCTCCTCTTCAGCGAGCGGGCGAGCACCATTGCTCCCAGCACGTACTCCGCATTACGACCCCAGAGGCAGACCACATAGGCAAACCTCAGTGAGCGAAATGACAATCACGGAGATGGTTAATTACTATGAGTCTTGCTTCCATGCACAGGCTTCCCTGATGCTGCACTTCGAGAAAGCATTCGAGCAGGTCTGAGCTCTTTTAGACAACTGGTCCTCTGACCAAGCAGCCGCCCGTGGCTGCTTTGCGCATCCTGTTGTGTCTGAAAGTCATGGGGCACATGCTCACCACACTTCAGAGCTGACTTGGCGCAGCCGCCCATCTGCTACAACATTTCGAATCGAGCTGGCATCAGTCCCAGTCCTGGCGCAGCTTCTTAGAAGCCGGTGGGTCCGATAGAGTCAACGACAATGGCCGCTTGCAGCATGTGCAGAAGGCCGTCCAACTTACCTGTGGCCCAGATTCCAGGGAGTCACGTACTCGGATTCCGCTCCGTCTCGCCATGACAGCCGGCCTCGCTGGACGCTCTGAGGCTCCCGGAGAGATCCTCGTAGGCCCGCTTTTGGGCCTCCCACGTGGGACCTGACCAAAGCTCAGTGCATTGCGGGGCTGCTGGCCTCAGAGCCTCCTGTGCCTGGTTGGGCCCAGTGCGTGATCGCTCCGTCGCAGGGCGACGTGACTTGCAGCCAGCTTGAGGACAGGCCGGAAACTCTGGAAACGCGACGACCTGAGAAGCGCAAGTGGCGCAGTTTGCCGAAGTCGCGGTGCAATGCGGCGCTTCAAGATCCCGTCCACCAAACTAAAGCATGTTTCACCAAGTTGCGCCAAAACCGACGCACCGAATGAAGAACTCGATATAAGCCGGTACAGCCGTCAAAGCTGCCACGTGGATCTTGCACACCCAGGCTGCGCCCATCTTTCGTGCTCATGACAATCTACAAAGGAGCCAGAATGCAGTCAATGCTGACTCTGTTGCATACCACTGGATGTAAGCACAAGCACATCCAGACAGAGTGGGGTTTGTACGATTCGTGCCAGGTCAGATTTGCAATCCACGTTGAAAGCTTACTACCCTGATTAAGGGCTCTCTTGTTGCATTAGATTCCACTTTGTTGAAGCCTGCTCTAGACTGCTGTTCAGGTGAAGTCACAAAAAAGCCCAAATCCCTTCGAGCCAGTCTAGCCCAACATGCACCAGGTACTCTGTCACACGACACTCAACACATGCCGCTTGTGCAATCAGGCCCAACCCCGCCACAACTCAAACAAGGGCACCCAACCTGCAAGCGATTGAGCATCCAGACCTGGCTGGGCAGTCCCCCTAACACATCCAGCAACCTTGCACCTGCACACCTTATGTGGCCTCCTTTCGTCCCCATCGTCCATGAGCTCGTCATGACCTGGCTCTTCTGGCGATGTCTTCTCCGGGCCAGTCATGCTCACTGCTGAGTCTGGAACTCGGAAGAGCCAATCAAGTGCCACAGTACGCCATCTCAGATGTCCCCTAACATCTCTAGGCCCTAGGATCCTGGTTCAACCGCCACAGATCATGCAGAACACTTGGGTACCCTTCTGTTCGCATTCACAGGCGATGGTGCTTCAAGAAATGTATGGGGCTGGGACATGCTGGGTTGCAACATTTAAGCTGGCACGAGGCAGGGATTTCTGGAGCCAACATGGTCGTCGCAGCAACACATGCGCCATGCATGTGGCTGTGGCCGTCGCGATGTAATTCAGATTTACGATTTCATTCCTCAAAGTGACGAGATAGCTGAGTAAGAAAAGCAACCATGAATGAGCGAGGTTTGCTGAAAAGGAATATGGAAGCGAGAAGCGATGTGAAGTGCACAAAGTCGACATCATGAAGTCACATACTTGACAAGACGTCGGGCCACTCACATTTTGACTGTCAGCGGCCCCACGCACGGGAAGCTGCCGCAGCACGTGCCTGTCACAGATTCTCAGACCATATCGGGATGGGTTTTCAAGAGCGCAAGCTGCATGTCACGAGCCGCCTGCGCTTGGCGTGCCTCCTGGACATAACAACATGAAGAGAGCAATGCCTTGTTACACTCGTTTGCCGGTTTGGCGCTCCTCCTCTGCGGCGACGGTTTCTTTTTGCAGAAGTTCTGCCCTGTCCTCCGCCGCAGCTACTTCCTGCTCCAATTTCTGGATCGCACCTCACAAGTTCAAAAAAAAAAGACAAGACTAGCGACGAGTGGTCCTTCGATCCATGCTTCCGAAGCGCGTTCCGCAATGTCGTGGCGCTGCTGCTCCATCGTCTCACGCTCTCTCAGGCCTAGGTTTACAGGTGCTTTTGGTGAGGAGCGACGGATAAGTGAGAAGGAAAGAGACAGACAAACACGGCAAGAGAGAGCAAGAGAGAGCGAGGGCGATAGACAGCAAAGGAGAGGAATTACGATGAGAGGGAGGGACTGTTCCGATCGAGGCGGCCCGGACAGGCCTCTTTTTGCAAAAGTGTAAAATAAAGGTGAACATACGGTGAGAAAGGCGAAGTAAAGCTAGAACCAGGTGAAACAACGGTAACGAAAAGTTGAAAAAAGTGAGTAAACAGTGAAGACCAAGCACAGGTGCCTCGGAATATCCTGCACTCGAGAGGGAGGGGAGGGAAAGACAGCAGAAGACAAGGAAGAAACGAAAACCGTTACGGTGTATTATGGGCTCGGGCGCTTGCAATCTTCAGCTTCAACTCGCTTGCGACACTCTCGTTCGAACATATCTTCACATTGTTGGAGCCGCTCTTCACCTGCAAAAAGAGTATGCTCCATGGCTAGTTCAGTACACAAGACACGCAAATTATTGAAATACAGTTGCCCAACGAGCCTGGCCCGCACGCTTTTTCCAAAGCACGTACACCTGAACAAGCAATCCGCCGTCCCGTCTCGATTCCTCCTTTTGGTACATGTACAGTACTCTCCAAGTTGACGGTCGACATTGATCGGTGTGCTGTTGCTGCTGCATTCTTGCGAAATGAAAAACATGCACATGCGCATGGAAGACGTGAAGACATACATTGGATAAGCCCCCGACGCTGTTCGGCCTCTTCGCACTGCAATCGTTCCCGGTGCCATGTGGCTTCACGCCGCTGAACTTCTTCTTCTGCCCTTGTCAATCCTTGCTTTGGAAAGACCAGCTCGGAAAGGCAAGCCGATCGTACCAACTTGTCATATTCTGGTGCCCAGTGCAGAACAGCTTCCGGACGCGTGTTCTTCACGCAACATGTCGAACTGCTTCTTTTCGTATTCCAATTCTGCTCGAAGACCTTGCTTGTGATGCTGCCGCCCGGAAGCTCGTACGTGGCTGCACATGAAGACAGGGGATGCCCCGTAGGTCAACGACTACCTTCATGATGCTGCTGCAGCTCCTTTTCCCGCACCAAAGCGTCCTTACAACTGTGCTCCTCTTGCTCGCAGATTTTCAGGCCTCAGAAGCACACCACATAAGTGGGCGACAAACAAACACAACAGGATTCTTTCCGAGGGCCCGGCGTTGTTCAAGGTCCACTCGATCTAGCTCTCGTTGTTCCAACAATGCATTTTGCTGCTGTAAGCTTTCCACCATCTGCTCAACACCTGCGAATTTCAGCAGGGCTCATCCCTGAACAACCAACTGTCGTGGTCAGAACACGAAGCATGCTAACCCAAGCAAAAAACAACACAAATGAGAGTGAACACACACACACATGACTGCAACGATTGCCTATTACGTCACTACGGCTTGGGTCTGTGTAAAACAAATGTCCAAGGGAACGTCGTTTCGTACAAGAGCTTGTTGGCACCAGCGTCTGCGAGCTAGGTTATGCGCTGGGCACTCTGCCACAGCATGTGTAGGGGTATCTGCTGATGCGCAGAAACGACACGGGGCATCAGAGCTCCGACCACGATGTCGGGCAGCCCGTCAGCGAAGCCGTGATAACATCGGGCGAAATCCCAGAATCTCAAAAGATGGGCATGACTGCAACGACCGTAGGCAATGGGATGCACGTGTGGCACTGGCCGCCACCATGAGTACAGCCGCAAGCTGTCGACAAGAATTTCAATGCAATTGCACGGATGGTGAGGCCTGTCTCTGGGAAGGGTGCAAGCTGCTCGGCTGGCTGTCGCGGTCCTGTCAGGCAACACAAGAACCTCTATAGTTGCACCACCTTTGAAGATGCATGAGTAGGTGATACATGGTGATACTGTGCCATGGCTCGTCTTGGTGCCTGAATTCCCGGAACTGGCTGCCAACTCTGTTCCCAGCTGTGCGAGTCGCGCTTCTGCTGTGAACAATTTCGTGCTCCTGAAGTTTGCAATCACACAGCAAGCTTATCTTGTTTTGAGAATGATAAGGCATTTGTTCCTGCAAAGCTTCATGCGACCGCGCAACATATCAGCTTGTGACGCAGCAAGCTGCTCATCCAGCAAACGGTGCAACCGCTCATGGCGCTGCAAAGCTTGTACAACGTGTCCACGCCCGCGCCACTCCTTTGTGCCAAAACGATGGCAGCCAAATGCGCGGTGCAAAACACATTTCTCTGCATACGCGTATAGGAATTGTAGGGGTGTCGCTGCCCAATCCAGTGCCGATCGGCCATCTCCATCAAGAGCACAAACTTCCGCCTCAGCTGACGAACCTAGAACTACTGTACATGTGTGGGCCGAACAACACATGCGAATAGTTCATATCAGTGTGGACCCTCCTCCGATTGCCATGCCACCGCGATGCCACACGTGGTTTGCGAAACATGTGCGCGACGCTGCAGGCGTGCCTCGGAGAGCCACCGGTCGAAGGCGAGCCTCTCGCGTCCACGGCCTGGGCGGTTGCAGCAACGCCCGCGACGCAGGGCGGGCTGGGCCTGCAGTCTGCCATGCGCACTGCGCCGGCCGCCTACTGGGGTGCCTGGGCGGACACGCTAGGGTACTGGCACGTACGGCAACCGCGCTTGGCGGCGGCATGTGTGCAGGCACTGGAGCGCGGCGGCGCCGGCCGACCTGCCCTCAGCGCGGCCCAGGCCGCTGCAAACCTTCTGCGAAGCGAGGGATGGCAGGAGTGCCCCACTTGGGCAACACTCCTCAGCACCACATGCGCAGCCCCACGTGCCCGGGAAGCCGGGCCTGGCGACTGGCCTCACGGCTGGCAGTTCCACGCATCGCGTACACGCTCACTTTACTTCCGCGATCGAGTGCTACTGCCCACCTTGGAGCCGGCTCACCAGGCGCTGTTGCTGTCCCAGTCGGGTCCCCAAGCCGCCGCGTGGCTCACGGCCATACCCACGGGCAGGTCCACCTCGCTGCCGCCAGAGGTCATGCAGATCGCGCTTCGCAGACGTCTCCGTCTGCCTCTGCCTCTGGGACCCGGCATATGCGGCCAACATGGGCGCGGATGCCGAAGACGGTTAGACCCCTGGGGCGACCACGCGCTCGCCTGCACACGCAGCGGCCTCGTGCCACGCCGGGCGAAGCTGGTTGAGCAAGCTGGCGGTCTGCCGCGAGGCGGTGGGAGCGGAGGGACACGTTGTCCCCCAGCAGTGGCTGTCGCACACGTCGGCGCCAGGAGTCCCGACGTCAGACCGCCGACGCTTCGACCTATAGTGGTGTACGGCGCATCGCCCCAGGGCCTCGCCCTGTGTTGCGATGCCACGCTGGTCAGCCCCATCACCCACGAGCGGAGCATACACCAGGCATCGCCTTGCGCATGGCCGAGAGCCGCAAGCGCGCAACCTACCCGGAGTTGCAGCACGGCGGCGGCCAACGCCTCTTCGTCCTTGCTGTTGAGGTCGGAGGGCGCTGGAACGCCGACTCACAGGCGCTTGTCCGACAGCTCGTCCGGGTCCGGGCTCTCAGTCTGCCCTCCGAGCTGCTGCCTCCACTGCCTGGACACGCAGGTGGTGGGGCATGCTGTCGACTGCAGTGCAGCACGCCGTTGGCGGCACGGCCCTGGGAGCGCCGTGACTGGTCTCCAAAGGCGCCGCTGCCTGCGAACCTGGCGCTCGCTGAGCCAGCTGGCCCGAGCCGCCTCCCGCTGCGCTGAGCACGGGACGCGCCCATCACGATGGGCCGCACGACTCCGTCATGCGCACAGCTGCCTGCTTTCGCTGGAAAAAAACATGTTACCATATTTTATGACAGTTGTGTGTCAGTTATCCTTCCCGCGACCCATCGCAAGAGGCACCATGTCTTGCTGCTAGTGTTGCTACCCGTCTCTGCATTGAGGTGGATGAAACAGGGAGCGGATTGAGGAGCGAGGCGATCACGCCGCTGCGGCTCCGTGTGAACCGAGCCGTTTGCGAGCAGGAGCCCGCGTGGCCCCTGCGATGGTCCGTGCTCGCCGCTTTTATTCGCAGTTGCCGCGCTGCAGTTTCCCCCCTTGAGCTCGCACGGCCTCACAATCCCGATGCAGTCCAAGCTGGACGACGTTCCTTGTCATGACGAGTCGAGCTCGACATAAGCGTACCAAAAAGCCGGACCAAAAAAACAACAGATGCCAACATCTTACGACGGGGTTGAAAAATCCCATTCATGCTACAGTAATCGTTTTGCGGCAATGTTCGAGGACGAAATGTAACGCCCTAGTATCGACAGTTTGTCTGCAGATGGTTAGTATGCAAACATGACGGATACGTTTCAAGCTGCAGCCCAGTGCTGCTTACTTACCGTCCTCTTCTTTTCTTTTTTTTTTCGCCCCTTTTTCCGTCAGCAGCTGGGTCCAGCGCCTGGTCCTAGAAGAACACGGTCCCGGATTAGGGCCGGTTCAGCGCAGCGGCAAGCGGCTCGGCCCATCCGGGTCGGCGAGATCGAGCACCTCGTCCAGGGCCGGCGCATCAGTATGTGCCGGTCCCGGCATGGCTCGGGCGCGCCCCTCCTCTTCTTTCGAGCCAGCAAAACCATGGATCAGCGAACACAAATCTTGGAAGCTTGATGAAGCTTGGGACCGTTGCAGGAGTAAAATACGACGGCATCATGGAACGTGCCTACACGCTCGACGTCACACAATCGGATAAATAAGTTCGCGCTCGATGGTTGCATGATTGATCGCGTGCCCACCTGTGCCCAAATGCCAAGTGCATTGGGACCACGCACAGATCGCCAAGAAGAGTCCGTCGGAAAAAACGCAAAGATTGTCCCGTGGCAGTTGAGTTTCTTTTCTTTTTTCACGCCCCTCTTTGCGTCTGCCGAGAACGGTCCGCGTCAGCAGCTATACGGCTTAAAGGTACGGCTAGGGCGGAGGAGGCGCGACCAACCGTAGGCCGCGGCCACAAGGCTCGGGCTAGTCCCAACGCGCATCGGCGAGGACCTGATGCGGCTCCGGCACGGGTCCGTCGCTGATGGCCTCTGCGCGCGGCAGCTCCAACAGCACGGGGGTGGGCGTCGCCGAGCCGCGTGAGGGGCGACACGATAGTAGCATCGATTGCTAGCTGGGAACCGTGCCACAAGGGAAGGCCGTTCGCGACTACCTCGATGCGCCGCGCATC